CGATGTTATACTTCTATTAACTCAAGAAAGTTTTACAATAGGCTAACCAACTGATTAGATTACATTCCATCCCTATCAACATTAGCTAATAAGACATGGACCCCGGGGAACTGAACATAAATCCCCCTCACAAGCCTCTTTGGCTGATAAGTAAGATGAAATATTAGTAGAAGAGTCTACATAGAATTCACAAGAATTAAACCCATCTTTCAACAGCAAAATGTCATCAACCACAATGTTTGAAGAACATGCTGCTCCTTTGTAGCTCCTGAGTTGCTTTACCACTTTAGGGATCTTGATCATGCATGCAATTTTGCTCCATCCCTTGTTTTTAGCTTCCTCAAGAAACCACCTGATTCCCAGCAAAGTAACTTGATCCAATGATGATGCCCACAGCCCTGTTTTGCTCCATTCATGCTGCAGCTGTCCTTCACTCCATACAGTGCACCCCAGCCCTACCTTACCTATAGAAGAGACATGAGCACTGACAATACCAAGATATTGACCTACTCCCCTGGAAAATTGTCCTCCATCAGGTAAGGCTTCAATACTGTCTACCAAACATCCATCTTGCTTTGAATCTGTTGCTGCTGAAAATTCCAACATTTCCTTTATAGCTCCATCCACCACCTGTTGCTCAGATATGAGGTGTTTATCAAACAACCAGTTGTTCCGAGTCCTCCACAGCCACCACATTAGATAGAAGGAAAGGCTAATCCTATCTGTCATGTAGTGGATGTCCTTGGCTGTACATATCTTCTGCCACCAATGTTGATAGGAACAATTTCTGTTCTGAGTGTCTTCCCAAAAAATACCAGCCAGTTTCCAACATCTCTCAGCTCTTGGGCAATGGAAAAGTATGTGATTTATACCATCTTCCTCTTCTCCACACAGGCTGCATATTGAGTCCACCATAAGTCCCCTTCTTCTCAGCTGCATATTTGTCCCAATGTATCCATGATAGCAGCTCCACAGAAAGTTTTTGATTTTCTGTTTGATTGGAAGTTTCCAACTCCTCCTCCACATTTTCCTCCTCTCTACCCTATCTGTACTTGTGCTGGCCTGCTGTTTTTGCTCCTCTATGTTCTTCAGGATTGCCTCATAAGAAGAATTTGCAGTAAATGCACCATCCTTTGTGAAGTGCCAGACCAGCTTGTCTTTGAGACCAAGTTTGCTCAGTGGGATCGTGAGTAGCCTCTGCTTCCAATGGGTTAAAAGTTTGTTGGATAAGATCCTTATCCCACTCCATTTTATCCTTTAGAATGAGGTCCTCCACTTTCTGAGCTTAAGTTTATCATTTGGGAACTGACAGGAGGGTTTGAACTGGCTCACTGTGGGAATTCAGGGAGATTCCCAAATGTCAACAGATTTGCCATCTCCAATTTTATACCTAAGCCCAAGTTTTAGTACATCCCTCGCCCCCAACCAGCTCTTCCACATCCACGAATCCCCACTCCTTTTTTTTTACCTCAAACAAATTCTCTCTGTACAAATATCTGCCTCTAATTATCTTACTCATTAATAAGTTTAAATTAAGTAAAACTCTCCATAGTTGTTTGGCTAAGAGGGCTTTGTTAAAAACACTCAAATTCTTAAACCCAAGACCCTCTTCCTCTTTGCTTTTGGCTAATTTTTCCCAGGATGCCCAGTGCATTTTATTAGCCCCATCTTCCTTACTGCCCCACCAAAAAGTTGCTGAAGATCTGCACATCTCCTCACACACAGACTCAGGGATTTTGAAGCAAGACATTGCATATATGGGAAGAGCCCCAAGCACTGTCTTGATCAAAATCTCTTTGTCTGCTTCACTCAAATATTTATTTTTCCAGCTCTGAATTCTATTCCTCACACAGTCACTCACATATTTGAAGGTTTCTCTTTTGGATTTTCCTATCCCAAGGGGAAGCCCTAAATATTTAGCAGAAGAGACACAGACAACCCCATTCAGAGTATTACAAACATCTGTTCTAGTACAAATGGGAGTGTTTTTGTAAAAGAAAAGAGAAGATTTACCCAGGTTTACTTGCTGCCCAGAGGCAGCACCATAATCCTGAATAATTTTGAGCACAACCGAGGCTTGATTCTGGGAGGCTTCACATAAAAGAAGGGCATCGTCTGCAAAAAATAGGTGAGTTAAGACAGGAACATGTTTATTGATTTTGAGACCCTTAACTGAACCATTAATGCTGGCCTGTTTGAGCATATTAGAGAGGGCTTCAGACAAGATGATAAACAGATAAGGTGACAAGGGATCACCTTGCCTTAGTCCTCTAGAAGGAACAACAGAGCCTAAGACTTGGCCATTAATATTAAAGGAAAATGTGGCTGAACTAATACAAGCAAAAATCCAGGCAACAAAATGGTGACAAAAACCCATATGTCTGCAAATTTTAATAAAAAAACCCCATTCTACCCTATCATAAGCTTTGGCCATATCTAACTTAATGGTCATATACCTCTCAATGCCTTTTCTTTTACTATTAAGAAAGTGATACATTCATTTGCCACAATTACATTATCTAATATTTGCCTGTTAGGGACAAAGGCTGATTAGCTATCAGAAATGCAAAATTGCAAAACACCTTTTAATCTATTGGCAATGATTTTGGCTATGATTTTATAGGTGACATTACATAGGCTTATAGGTCTGTAGTCTATGATTTTTTTTGGATTCTTTTTTTTTTTTTGGGATTAGGGTTATGACAGTTTGGTTAGAGGCTTTTGGAAGTCTGCCAAAATGGAAAAAAATTTTAACTGCTAGGCACAAAAATTTATTTACAGTCCCCCAAGATTTTTGGAAAAACAAAGGAGTTATTCCATCAGCACCAGGGGCCCTAAAGGGATTCATATCCATAAGAGCACTTTTAGTTTCCTCATCAGTCACTGCCTTAGTAAGCTCAATATTCATGCTATCAGAAATTGAAACAGGGATACCTGCCAAAGGGCATCTATCAAAATCAGGGTCAGAACTTTGAAACAGTTGATCAAAATAAGCCACCACTTCAGAGACTGTTTCATGCACATTAGAACATCTATCACCATTGGCTTTAATGAGGTTCTCTAGGCTATTAACCTGTCTCCTCTGCTTAACACCAGCCTGAAAGAATTTAGAGTTCTTATCACCCTCTTTAAGCCAAATAATTCTAGACTTCTGGCACCAAAACCTCTCTTCCTCAATATAGGCCTGTTCTAATCTCCTGTTATATTCCTGCCATTTATTCCAGTCCCTCTGGCCCCCCTGAACTCTCAAATTATTAAGACTCTCTATGCAATTTTTAATCTCAGAAGCAGAATTAGAAGCCAGAGTGGTGTTCCACCTCCAAAGAGCTAGCCTAACATTTTTAATTCTAGCCTGAATACTTCCCATCCCACACCCATGCACTGGTGAGTTCCAAGCCTTTTCTACTACTTCAACAAAACCCTCCTTAGAGATCCACCTAGCATCAAAATAGAATCTCTTTTTACTAACAACAATATTAGGTTCAGTGTCCAGGAAGATCAAGTGATGATCAGAAGAAGACATATGAATATGCTTAACCAGAGGATTGGGGAACAGGAACAGAAGATTGAGGTCAGATGACATAAAGAACCTGTCTAACCTTTCTTTCACAAACTCAGGCCCTTTTCTGTTATTGGCCCAAGTAAAGAGGTGTCCCTGGAATCTAGTTTCTACCATAGACATATCCCTGATAA